ATAGACAAGACCCAGGCAAAGGCTGTGTCTGCGTAGCAATCCTGGACATACTGAGCAAGCGTTGTTTGTACTTTGCCTTTTGAGGCATGTGTTCCGATACGGGTCATTGGCTCGCACGGCATTTTACACGTGTTCATGAGGCTTTCAATCTACACATTACATTGGTTTTACCGCATTGCTCACTCTAGGATGACCCTCCACTGTGCCGAAGTGTGGCGTATGCTGGCGCCCCAAATAATCAACAAGACAGCGCCGATACCGACTATGCCAGCGAAGACCCCAGCCAGGGTACCGAAAGCTCGGACAAAACCCGCCTCTTCAGCCCATGGGATCACACCGAAGAGGAAGCCAAAGGCCACGATGTTCTTCAGCCCGTTCACAAGCAGCAGTACGTCCGAGTTGACTGGGAATGCGCAGTCGCTCACATACGCTATAGTGATCGTTGGCATGGCTGTGAGCGCTATCGAGATCATGCCGTACCCGAAGAAGAGCGAAACCCATGATAAGGCGTTCTGAACGCCGTAGCCGAACACAAGACAGCCTGCTGTCGTGATGACCAACGGGATGCACACCAGGTATAGTCGTGTTTCTGGCTCGTAGATGCCGAGCATTTTCCTTGTTCGCCACCTGCACCACATGTCGACGAGATCACCTGCATTCAGTCAGCACGTTTCCTGGCTACATGTTGCTCAATTATGACTTACCTCCTGCCCAAGCCCCGATCACATTGCCCAAAAGGCCTGGGATATTGATCAGGCCGTTGATTTGTGCGCTCCAGTTGTACGGAGGTGCTTGCAGCACGAATGGATTGAGGATGTTGACCGCGATAGTGATGACCAGGGATATGGAGTAGCAGAGAAATGCGTATATGACCGCGGGGTACACAATCATCGGCCACGGTCTGCTAGATGTTAACATTGGGCTCTCGCCGAGCTGGACTATTACATACCGTAGAAACAGCTTCACCAAACTCGTCTCCGAGACACCACTCCATAGGCTCAGCTCCTCCCTCCATGTTTTCTTTACTTCTTGGTGCAAGATGCGATTACTCGACTTCGGTCGGAGATGTTTCTCTTCCGCCATGACGATCTTATCGTTCGAAGGGCAGATGGCGACACCCGCGCCTTTGATGTGCTCACGCGTGTATCGAGTCTCAGGGACTAAGAGTAGTATGGTGAGGAAGTTGAGTGCGGTCAGAATGACAGCAATCCACTTGTGCCATCGCCAGCTGAGATTTGTCGCGATGAAGCCGCAGACCAATGGTCCCACCGTATTACCACCTGCTATCGCGTTCCTGGCGCTCGGTTAGCATACTGATAAGGGCCCATAAGGAGAGGATATATGCTCACATATAGATACCCATCTTACTGCCTCGTTCATGCAGGAAAAACAGGTCCTGGGAAGATTCAGTCAGCTCGCCGGTCAAGATCGCTCAAACTATGGCCCAAGGATGGGGATTGGAAATGAGTAAGTAGTACAAGATGACTCACGTTGACTATTGCAGCACCTAGAGCTTCTGTCGAAGACCCGGCGAAAGCAGCGATGATGTTACTCCACAAAAGGCTCTTGAACGAATTTGCCATGGCGCCCCAGACGCAGCATGCGCATAACAGGGCACTGGCGAATACGAAAATCGGTCGTTTCCCGAAATGATTGGCCATTGGTACCCAGAAGAAGTTGAAAACGCCCAAGACCAAGATCGGGTATAAGAGGAGATGCGCAGTCTCGTCCATGGACTTATCAAACTCGATCGAGAGAATATGGAACGCTGGTGCCAAGCCTGCGATCGAATAGTTTGTCAGGAAGGTAAAGGCGCACACCGAAGCGAATGCGACATGTTTCTTCCATCGTGGCCAGCGGAGAGGGTCGTTAGGGTCGGTTGGCGAGGGTTGTGGGAAGAGGACGATGTCTGCTGGTGCACTTTCACCATACCCAGCTGCACGCGCCGAATTAGCTCCGCATTCCAACGGACAAAGACGAACAATACCGTACCTTGTTGCAACACCACTGTACCATCGGTACGATCTAGAGCCCTCAAGCAGGTGAAATGGAAACCCGTCATGATGTCAAAGAGCCTTGGAACCAGCAGGAATCTCGACCTTGGGATCCTTTACTTCGGGTAGGAAACTGCCACTCAGAACCAGGACCAAGTAGGTGCGTCGCTATCGCTTTTAGTCTTGTCTTTCATGGGCGACATGGGGAGCACCCAGCGGCAGGTAAACATTGTTGACATGTGGTCGGACGCATGCTATGTAGGGCTTACGGAGTTCCGTGCAAGGCAAGATTACAGGTGCAGACTAGTCAACCAGGAAACTTTCCTAGGTTCTCACGCGCAGCAGGCGCCAGATTTGTTGATATACACATGCGGTCGTGTCTCCATGCTTGCTTATTTGGTTGGCTGAATGGAGATGGCTAATATGGGTATGGGGTCTGTCTGGTGCTGACATGCTGGACGTTCATGCAGTGCCGGGGCATGCGGGGCCGGTCGCGATTCCGTGCCCACCATGATCGACGGCCAGATTCGATTCTGAAGGCCCTTCTCTACAAAAGAAACGCTCAAGTGCCATGGGAGATGCCGGAGTGAAAGGCAGTAGTGTATATTCGTGCTTCGACTGCCGACTGCCACGATCCCGTTGCGTGGATCAGTCGATGGCAATGTGAATGTCGATTATGGTGTCAACAACCAACTTTGGCAGCCGTGCCAGTCCCTGTCGTACACACGATCGGTGGTAATCACGACTTCGTGAGATTGCGTCGCCATGCGCTCATCTCTTTGCTTTGTCAACCTTTGAGCGCGCTCAATCGCTGCGCCTGTCCCTCATGAGACGACCTTGGAAGGGGTCAAACATTCTCCATGTTATCGCGGATGGAGATTCCCCGAGGTCTGAGCTACTGCATCTCCACCGCGCGACGAGAGGAGGCTTGCGTCATGTCGGAGACTTATCGATCACTTTAGTGACGCTCAAGAAGCCGTGCATCTTTGTTGTTGCGGCGCCATCCCGTCCCGTCTCGCTAATCGTCGCGCCAAGCCTACCAGCGTGAAGGCCGCGGGGGACTCGACCTTGGAACCACAACTTCAACTCTCCACCCAAGTATCCCAACTAGCACACCACAGTTGATTGACTCGGCTTCTACCGCTCACGTTATCAAATCACGTTGCTAAGGTGGTGGTCGCGCGGCCAATGCTCAGACGCTCGACGATACGGATGGAAGCCGAGCTATGCTTCCCGAATGCAACGTTGGACACATTGCAGAACATGACACGGAGGGGCAGTATTGACGGATCATACGGCGAGTGATCGATTTCAGTGTCAAAGGTTTCCTTCTCTGATGACGCTGACGTTCGCATCTATGGCTTTATCTGACGCGACAGCTCGTTTTTCCTTACGCCACAACGTCTCGGATTGCGCGCCCAGTCGTCATGAAGCCGTGAATGCATCTTTATCATATTATCCTCTCCAGATTGCGACACGAATCATGTGCGGTCTTTTCTTCTTCCCTCGAACACTGAAGGGTCTCAGAATGAATATGGAGTTACGTTTCAATGACGCCGTACGACAAGAACGAGATCCAATACAATACCCCACGGCCATGTCTACGACCGCACAAATGAGTCCGAGTGACACGACTTCTTTGCTAGCTGAATTGGGTGGATATACTGCATTTGTTCCGATTCCCCATGGCGTCCATCAAGAGGATCAGCAGAGCCGTCCACGCGCGCTGCAAAGCATACCGCATGCGCAGGCATATTTGCAGCGTTTTAGAGCGTTTCTCGACAGACGCCATCGCATGCTGACAAGACAGTGCTTCCTTGCATCTTTGCTTTTCGCCCATGAACCCTGCCCATCGGGTCCACGGTGACGCCTTGCGTTGCACGGCGTGGCGCCTATTGGACCAAGCACATATCGCATTCCCGCTAAACAGCCAAAGAGACGCGGAGATCTTACTGCTACTGCACGCTCATCGACCGAAGATCAATAGAGTACAGCGCTGTCGAATCCGCGGATGCGGCGCAACGTGACGCTTCATCCTAGCCTACACCAAAGTCTCTCTATCGGAGTGTATCCCCGCCACCGCCAAAGCATGGTGACTTGTTTGGAATAGACTTATAACCTGATAGTCACCCTGTCTCACCGCTTGGCCCCGGTACCCGGACTCCCACAAGTATATATCGTCTGCGGTCCCAGACTCTTACCAAAGTTTCTTCGCATTCATAGGCCCAACGACTCTCTTCCCTCACGCTATTCCCCTCATCATCTCCAGTACTGAAACGTCGTCATTACATGGTTGTCTCGACCGTGGCCAGACTCGCGACCCAAAACTCTCCAGACCCAACAAGAAACCCATCGCCTTTCATGGATCCCCGACCACCACCAGGAAATCCAGCGACGACTGCGGAGATGTGGGACAGGTACGAGAGGCAAGCTGTAGAGACGGCAAGGACGAGAGAGAGAACTATGCAGCCACCACAGCCCCACCGCATAGTAATTCCAATCAAGGTCAAAAGTCATAGACCAATCGACGTTTCACCGACAATACCAAGCTTCGACTTCAGAAGACGTGGTCATACAACAACGGTATCGACTACATTGGCTACCTGCAAGACCTGTTCACTTCCTATCACCTATGTCTCTGGAGTTTGCGAAAGCTGTACAAGAACCATCATCCTGCCATCTTCCAGCGGCGAAACCACTCCGCCTATCAGTCCAGCCTCACGTAACTTCGCCTCTACCGACCTCATCAAACTGCGCAAGAACTCATATGGGGAAGATGTTAACATCCGAACATCAACAACATCATCGCGACGAACCTCGTACTGTCCACTGCCAGCGCACCTTGCAGACCCGTCATTCCGACTCTCCGCGCTGCAGCCGCCCCCGGAACTGGAAGCCTTCTCAAATGACCCCATCCGTAGCAGAAGAAAGACATCTCTCACTGACCCCAACGAGCCATTCCTCCGTCTACAGATCGCGCAACAAGCACCTTTACCCCGGTCTACAATGAACTCACCACCCATTACCCCCACATCACCACCGCCATGGGCCACCCACTCACGCTCTTCCACGCGACGCTCCAGTCTAGCAAACGCTGCAATCCTGCCAAAGCCCGCCTACCCTCATGCGCGCACTGACAGTGTGGCTTTATCGGAATACAGCACCCTCTGCCCCATCCAAACCACACTAACAACAAAACTCGAAAACACGACTAGCGCCTGGGACGACTGGGACAGCGATAACGACGATGTAGATAGAGCAGGTCTCGCGAGCTGGATGGGCCGGCGCAAAACCAAGGGTCGAGGTAGTGGGCCCAGGGAGGGCAAAGGCAGCATGGACAGCACTGAAAGCGACAACGACGCCACGAGGCCCAGTCTTTGTCTGAGAGAGACACCCAAGAAGGCCAAAAAGAGCATGAACATCAGCAAGGAAGACCAAGGTCTGGAGCGCGCTAGGATTGAGGCGGCGGAGAACGCGAGGACCAGACGGCGAGACGCGGAACAGAAGCTTGCGAAGAAGAAACCGAGTGGGTTTATCAGGGCGATTACTTGTGGGAAGAGCGATACCGATGGGTAAGTTTCTTTACGCGGACACTACTTTCCTTGTGTTTGGTTCGAGCAAGGCGTTTATGATGGGCGATATATTTAAGGATGATACCACGCAAGATGTTGGACTGGTGTTTCGGTATTGGGTTCTATGGTATGCATGTCTTACGACTATATAGGCGATTTAGCTATCTTAACTCATAACGTATAATATATCATTCAGAAGAAGTTCATGTTCCTTCGTTGTGACTTGCATTGTCATTGCTTTCGCCACCTCACTCAACGATACATTCCTACTTCTCCCAATAACAGCGCGGAAGTACCATAACAAAGCCATCCCCTCCATTCATCCCACCAAACCCATACTCGAAGCCAACACACACACACCCTCCACCGCTAAACGCCCTCCTGCACATTCCCGCACCCGCATCCGCATACTTACCTATATACCTACCTTCCAATTCCGTACACCCAGCCGCGCGCTCCCGCCTACTGCACCCGGTAAGAGGTGAGAATGCGGGTAGGCGAGCGGTGACCCCATCGCTAGTCTTCACAGGGTCGTTCGCCGAAAAGCCGCGTAGGGTAGTAGGGGTAAGCGAGGATGCTGTGGGAGGCGGTGATGTGGCCTGGGTACGACCAACGAGGCGGATGTGTTGAGGTGGGGTGGGGGTTTAGAGGTCCGGTCATGTGGTCGGTAGGGGGTATTTCGCAGTGGAGTGAACCAGACGGTAGAGTGGTTTGCGAGGGTTTGCGACTGAGTGCAAGTATGACAGTGCAAGACATCATCACAGCCCTGCTACAACCTCATCCACACAATCCATCCCCATCATCAAACCCCTTCAACCAACTTTCTAATACCACTTACCACCATCCCATGTAAAACCCATGTATCAACGTCGCACCATCGCCCGCCTCGACCGAGGCCGTGGACATCTGATCAGGCTGGTGGTATGTGAAATACGGATGTTGTGGCTTCCATGTGTGCTGCAAAGCATCGGTGATATCACCATACTGAATTAGACGCTCCGTTGTGTAACGTGCTGCAAGGCTGAGCGGTTGTAGGCGAGCGTTACACGGGGGCAGTTGGGCGGTCTGGGCTTTTGAGTTTTGGGGATGCATGTGCGTGCGTGCGCTGTGTGGGATGAGTGCTGTGGATGTGATTATGGGTGTGCGCGGTATCTGGGTGGTTAGTTGCACGTCGTCGCTGGGAAATATGAGGTTTCGTGCGCAAGATGGTACAGAGCTGGACAGGCTGCGATTTCGAAACTTCGAGATCAATAGTATACGCTCTCGCATGGTAAGTGGCGGTGTGGAGGCGCGGTAGGCGTTGGCCACGTCTAACAACTCGTCGCACAGTGGCGGACGCACCTACAATCGCTTTGAGCATGTCGGTGCACATGTCAGCTGCCAGTTAGCAGGGCGAAGATGTCAGTTGTTTCGGATATACCGCCTTGACCCTGACTTCCAGGAATCTTGACTGAGCACATTACAGGATGTGCTTTCCACGACAAGTTACAAGTGCTGATGGAAAGGCCAGCTGCATGTTTCTGTGTTCTTCATTTCCTGGCGTTAGAAGACGGAGAAGTCCGCGCTGTAGAGTTTCGAGGTTGAAATGTCGTTCTTGGCCGCGTGCGACATGTCCAAGTTAAAGTTTGATCACGCTCCAATCTCCATATGGTTTGATAGGTTGACAGCGGGAGAAATGAAGTCATGCAACTTTGTTAGCAGTGCATCGTGAGATGAACAAGAGTCGTGAGTTGGCGAGCAAGTCTGATGCAGTTGTTGCAGCCTCGCACGAGATTGTAGAATGAACGTTGGACTTCTCGGGGGTACCGAGCGTGACTAGCAACTAACAGTTACCAAAATCGTCTTCGGTTCTGCACCCTTTAGTCATGGCCATGGCATTAGCAGTAGGAGAATGCAAGGACCACGTGATGCTGACCGTTGGGTTTTGGGTTGAATTACCACGCCCGCATCCGATTACTTGGCCCAACGTACTGCATATAATTACTCTTTTTCAAATATGAAGACGTCATAGTCCACAGTCGATACGAGTCGGAAACCACGAGGTCCGAGATTTCGACGACACAGAAGTTGCGGTGGTGTTGGCAAGCTCATGCAAGCTCAAAACTAGCAGCAAGCCTTTCAATAGTTTGGGGCCCATCAACGACGGACTGTTGGCTACTTCAACCGATGCTGCCGCGGGTAGAATGGGACCTGAACTACCGAGCAACACCGCAGGGCTTGCGGGAATAATGGCGCAGTTCTACAAAAGCTGGAAGCATGAAGACAAGGAAGCATGAAGCGGTTTGAGACGTTCTAAATCGGTACAACTACCCGACTCAGCTCTGCAGTATGTTTTGATGAGCTGTTACAGATCACGAAAAAACGAATTCGTCGAGCGCGAACATGTCAGAAGAACTCGGGTGTCGGCACACAGTCGGGAATTTTTGAAAAGAGGGGTGTTGGCGACGAGCCTGGAGGTGGTGGCGGTGCTGGAGGAGGTTGGCGCACGCCTTGGTGAAAGTTAAGGCGATCGGTCAAATCTCAAGTCGTCGGTGTTGTTCCGGCATTGGCAGTCAGCAAAAGGCGCGATGCCTGAAGCATGGTGGATGCGATGGAATTGGCAGGGTGGCGTGAGCGTCTCTCGTGATCTGCCACGAGGTAATTTCCTTACGAACTGCTCATTAATCGATACGCGGACGGGCCAGAGGCAGAATTGATCGGCTTGCATCATCGTTGCCTGTCGTTGCTTGTAACCGACCGCGCGGATGTCACCAAAGCTTGTCACGTCGTGTCGGGTCCGGAGTTGGCGGCAGTGATGGCCCACCTAATGGGCTAGAAGGATGGCCGGTGTGTGTGGGAATACGGGAGCGGCCAGGGTCTGAGAAGGCCCGCCGGAAACCATGGAAGCGAGCGGTGTCGCTGAGGGCGGCGTCAGCAGCGTGAGATTGTTGTTGTTGACATTGCTTGAGCGCTGCTGGGCGCAGGGTTTTTCTTTGATGCAACACGCAGGTGCCTGTCTTGGTGTTGCGTCCAACGTCACCCCTTTGTAAGTCTGAGGCTAGCCGGATTGAGCGGATTTGTGGGGTCGCGTGTTACCGCATCGGGCCAGAGGGCTGCCAGGCGAGCCGTGGGCGCAATCTCTTCGACGCCAGCTGGCCAGCGCCTGAAGCTTATCTGGCTCTAGCGAAGGCTTGAGTTCTTCCGTCTGCTTGGTGACAGCGCGACAACGTTGGCAGGACGATCCTGCGCTGGCGGGTTAGGCCCTGAGTTCTGCGTGCCTTATCAATAGCGCCGCTGTTGCGTTCCACCTTTTACGAGGGCACATGTGGCCGTCGAGCACCACGCTCCCCACCGCATCGTCGGATCAGGCGCAGCGCATGCCGCTTGCCGTGCTCCCCTCTCGTCGTGTAATGCGAACCAATCCCTGCGCCCAGAAATAGAAGCTCGACGAGGCCAATCCCCGCGATGATCTTGCCGCACAGAGCTGGCATTGGCTGCGCTAGGCTGGAGATTGCCGCTCGTGCCCCTTAGGGCTGTCCTGAGCAATACCGTTATTGGTCGATGCGTCCAATGTGTGCCTGAATTTTCCTTTTCCAGTCGCAACTGGCCGACGCGATGACTAGCATGGCTGAACGTCCTTCGTATACGCGGCATCGTCGTAGGTACTTGAATCTGCGCGCGCCCGCTTCTATCCTCCTCACCTCCATCGCTGTAGGCGCATCTCAAGTACCTGCCTTCAGCACTTCATTCTTTACCGCCTCTCGGCCGCTGTCACTCGTTTCCAGCTGCCTTGACCCCATACAGCAACCCTCTAGTAATACTTAATTTGTTTTCGCTAGGTACGTACTTTCCTTGTGCTTTCGCTACCGCGCGGGGCTCCGCAGCCGCTTCCCAAAATACGTTGTTCTGCATGCTGGTGTTAGCCTTCTTTTTCGCTACACCAACCTCGCCATGCGACGACGTCCTACCCGCCCGCCAAAAACCAACTTCATAACCGTTGTGCCGCCGCCCCTGGATCATCAATGCTATTCATCACCTACTTATACCCCTGCTATCCTCATTGTACAACGACATCTCGGATGATCACCCGGCCACATCTGTCGGCTTACACACTCTTTCTACCACACTCGTTTCTAACACCCCGCCTAGGTGAACCCTCATAATGAAGGCTTCTCTCTTCGGCCTCGGCGTCCTCGCCGGTCTGGCCAGCGCAAACATCAACTTCGTCTGGGTCAACCCCACATGCGATCACCTGGACCCCACCAGTCTCTGCCTGACTGGCCAGCACTGCAGCGAAACCGACTGCTGCGTGCCCGACCTGAAGAGCGAGTACTCCAAGCTCGTCTCTCGCTCATCTCTTCGCGTCGTTCCCGCCAAGAGGCAGACTGCCAAGTACTCTCAGGACGGAAAGTGCGGCCCTGCTAACGGCAACCTCCTCTGCGACCCCAACAGCACCGTCTACAAGGGCACATGCTGCTCGCAGTACGGCTGGTGTGGAAGCACCGCCGCCCACTGCACTCAGGGCTGCCTGTCTGGCTGTGACAACGGTGCCTCCAAGCCCGCTCCCCAGCCTAGCAAGGCTGCCACTGCCGGTGCTGCTAAGCCCAGGACCGACGGCAGGTGCGGAAAGGACTTTGGTGGCGCTACATGCGATGCCAACGGTGCTTACGGCGGCTGCTGCTCGTCTTACGGATACTGCGGTTCCACCGACGGTCACTGCCTCGCTGCCAACGGATGCCAGAACGGATGCAAGGGCGCCACTGCTACTCAACCCGCCAAGGGCAACCCAGCCCCTGTCAGCAGCCGTCCTCCCTCTACCACCACCTCCGGCGAGCCAGTTCTTGGTAAGCCCTCGACTGCTCCCGCTTCCAAGCCCACCGGCGTCGCCACTACTGATGGCAGCTGCGGTGCCAAGTTCGGTAACACCGTCTGCGGTAACTGGGCCCAGGGTAGCTGCTGCTCCATGTACGGCTACTGTGGTAACACCACCTCTCACTGCGGTGAGGGTTGCCAGAACGGTCCCTGCCTCAGGGCTCCCAGCGTTCCTGCTCCTGCTGCCAGCCCTGCTCCTCGCGCCGCTAAGCCCGGTAGCATCCAGCTCAAGGGCCGCTCCGGTGTCCCTGCTATGCACGCTGGTCTCATGCCCAACGGCAAGGTTGTTTTCCTTGACAAGGTCGAGAACTACACTGAACTGAAGCTCGCCAACGGCCAGTACGCCTACTCTTCCGAGTGGGACCCCGTCACTGACAAGCTCACCCCCTTGGCCTATAAGACCAACGCCTTCTGCTCCGGTGGTATCTTCCTTGCTGACGGCCGCTTCGCTTCTCTTGGTGGTAACGCTCCTCTCGACTTCATTGACCCCACTGTCGGTGATGGTTTCAGGGGTATCCGTCTCCTCAAGCGCTCTTCCTCCGATGCTTCTCTCGATGGACAGGCCTGGAACGAGCCTGGTCCTCAGCTTGACACTCCCCGTTGGTACGCTTCCGTCCAGATCATGCCTGATGACTCCATCTTTGTCGCATCTGGATCCAAGAACGGTCTCGACCCCTCAAAGCCCGAGAACAACAACCCTACCTACGAGATGCTCAACGCCGACGGTTCTCCTCGCGGAGTCAGCAAGAACATGGAGATCCTCAGCAAGAACCAGCCTTACTACATGTACCCCTTCATGCACCTAATGAAGGACGGTAACCTGTTCGTCCAAGTCTCCAAGTCTGCTGAGATCTTCAAGGTCGAGACCGGAAGCGTCGTCCGCATGCTGCCCGACCTCCCAGGTTCCTACCGCACCTACCCCAACACTGGTGGATCCGTCATGCTCCCTCTCTCATCTGCCAACGACTACAACCCCGACATCGTCATCTGCGGTGGTGGCCCTTACCAAGACATCACTGCCCCTGCTGACCCGTCCTGCGGCCGCATCAGGCCTCTCGATGCCGACCCAGAGTGGGAGATGGACTCCATGCCTGAGGGCCGTGGTATGGTTGAGGGAACTCTCCTCCCCGACGGTACCGTCGTCTGGGTTAACGGTGCTCAAGAGGGTGCTCAAGGTTTCGGTGTAGCTCAGGACCCTGCTCTCGAGGTCCTTCTGTACGACCCCAACCAGCCCAAGGGCAAGCGCTTCACCACTGGCCCTGCTTCCACCATCGCCCGTCTCTACCACTCTGTCGCTCTCCTCCTTCTCGACGGTACTCTCTTGATCTCCGGCTCCAACCCCGTTGAGCAGCCCATCCTCAAGCCCGACGCCAAGAACCCCTACGTCACCGAGTTCCGCAACGAGATCTACACTCCTCCCTACCTCCAGGGTAACCCCACCCGTCCTTCGGCTGTCCAGATCTCCCAGAAGGAGCTCAAGGTCCAGCAGCAGTTCAACATCAAGTTCAACGCTCCTGCCAACGCCCAGAACGTCAAGATCTCGCTCTACTACGGTGGATTCGTTACCCACTCTGTCCACATGGGTCACCGCATGATCTTCCTCGACAACACCGGCTTCAAGGCTGGCGCCACCGCCCAGAGCTTGACCGTCACCATGCCTCCTAACAAGGCTGTTGCCCCTGCCGGTCCTTACGTCATCTACGTTGTCGTTGATGGTGTTCCCGCTATGGGACAGTTTGTTCACGTTTCTTAGAATGGGTCTGTGAATGAGAATTGGATGAGACGACGATGTAGCTGATGCCATAATATTCCTTGTATCATCCTTGAATTGAGTGGAGGCTTTGATAATTAGCGATGCATGTCCTCCTATAGAATAAAAATTGTCACGAAATCACTTGTTGCCAACGTTGAAGTATGATGTTTCGTGAAGTTGATTATGTCACATTGACATGCCTACATACAATCATGATGGTGACATCTCACACTGTCCCACGTCTACGTCGTCCCCTGGCATGCGTCGGGGCGCTGCGCTCACACACCCAAACTTTGGACTTAGTAGTCCAGCTCACCCTCGTCCTCGCTCTCGACCCTGGCCCTCTTGCTGTAGTCCGCAAGAGGACTCGCGCCCTTGCGCTTGCGACCCACGACGACGTTATCGGCCTTCAGGCCACCCTCAAACTTCTTTTCACCACCACCCTTCTTCTCCCCACCACCACCATCACCATTCTTCCCATCCAGCTTCCATCCCTTCTCCTTCCGGCCGCCACCACCCCTCTTACCCCCCATCCAATCCACAGCATCGACAGTCATACTGTCATGGTACATATCTCTCAAGTCCCTCGGGACGTGAACGCGGTTGTCCCCGATGATCTCCCACATCCACGCCATGGACTCGCGCATCTTGGGTGCTTCCCGTCTCAACTCACTCAGGGCGTCTTCCATCACCGCAACCCGGTTCTTGAGGGCCTTGATGGTGCCCTTGGCGGTGGCGTCGGGGGCGGTGTTGGAGCCGACGGCACCGGCGGTGGTGGTGATAGCGTCGGCCATGGTGGTGTTTGAGGACGACGTTGGTGTAGTAGATGTACTTGCGGAAGGAGCGGGGAGGTGTGTAGGCACTACGACACTCTTCTTGACGCTCTCCAACTGCAATCGTGAACATGTAGTCAGTAAACATGTCCCGTATATTTCATACGATAACAACAAACCTCTTTCCTCAACTCCGTATTCTTGCGGCAGACACGGTAAGCCTCCTCGGCGATCTCCTGCGGACTACCGTAATTGTCGAGGCGGGCGCGGATGCGCTGGGTATCGGGGTCGTATTCCATTGGTACTGAGGAGCGTAGTTTGCGGGTGTAAGGTAGAGATTTCTTGATGTACCGCTTGAGTTTGTTTTGGGTGAGGCCGCTGCGGGTGCGACGACGGCCGGGCATGTACTGGTGAAGTGTGTTAGGACTGTGGGCAGTGGATGACAGCAGAAGGCAGCAGAAGAGGCTCGGCTGGTGTGAGGTGTTGCGAGGATGGAGGAGTGGGAGTGCGAGACATAATTTCAGGCTGCGAGCAGAAATTTCAGTGCGTTTGTGCGTTTGCGTTGGGCTGGTGTTCACTTTCACTTTCACTCGAACGTGGTGGAAGTTCAGTGTTGACGTCAGAGTGTAGGTAGGCGGGCGGGATAGGAGGTGGATGTGCAGAAACCGAACAGACCGCCTCATGAGACGGTGAGACGGGGTTGATCATGAGCCCCTTGTTCTTAGCTACTAAGTCATTTGTTCATTGTCAGGCTTCTCCGCCGGTTCTTTCTTCTCTGGCTTCTCCATACGCCTCCATAAGCCCAGGAAGCCACCTCCGACAACCATTTGGCCAGCTTTTGGTCGGCACACCATGACCCATTTCTCCTCCTGTTTGCTCAGATCTTCTTTTAGCTCGTTATCCCGTCGTTCTTGACCTGATGCCGAGTCTGCGCTTTCATCACTCGAAGGCTCGGAAGGTTGCTCTGGCTGAGACTTCTTCATGGGCGCTCTCGGTCTGACTGCGCGAACATCCCACTCGCGAATTGTACCTGCTCCTAGCTCAATGACCTGGTCAAGAATGTAGGGCATCTTATGCTCCCGAATAGCTTCGACACATTCGGCGATCTGGGTGATGCTTGGGTTGAAGACGGCGAGCATGCCATTGACGTGCAATGCGGGAGCGACATTAGCGAGGTGACTTGTCGCGTTGGGTAGATCTAGGAACACATGGGTTAGGAAGGGCTTCTCAGTTTTTCTCGACGCTCTCTGTTTGGCGATCCACTCAGACACATCTCCTACGTGAAAGTCAACGTTGCCCGCGTACATGCCATGTCGGAACCCTTCCACGATCTTCTTCGCATGTGCCGAATGTTTGCTAGATATGTCCAACGTATGTATGATAGCGCGACGGTTCTGCTTCCACGACGATAGTGCTGATTCCTGTAGGTCTGACAGAGATTCGCCGAGGTATACTGCGTCTTCGGGTTCTTCTTGGGTAGTGACATAGGACGGCGTTCTTGGAACGGGAGGGTTGCCGGCGTGTACAGCGCGAGCGAGATGCAGCGTCAGCGCTCCATGGCCTGTGCCAGCTTCGAGGATCTCTAGAGGTGGTTCGGTGTTGGGAGTAGCGGACGGAGTATCGACGTGGATGTCGAGCAGGGACACTATGAGGTTGGTATCTGAAGGGTAGATCTGGAGTATGTCAGCCCGAGTCTGGTGTCTCGTCGTGGCATGGGATACGCACCGGAGTAACAAGGCGCGGTGTCAATCTGACATATTCGGCCAATGTAGGCTCGTAGACGCGAAAGGTGTCGCCCTTGTGGGAACGGACAATTTGCCGTGGCTCTTTTCCAATGACATCTTCATGCTTGACAACGCCTCGGTGTGTGCCGAGGGTCTTGGCCGCCTGCAGTTTCACGAGGCGCCCATCTTGCGTCTCTTTGCTCTCGCGCAGGAGCACAACATCGCCTTCTATGCGCCTGTGAGCGGGGTCGGGGTGGTGGAAGCGGAGGTCTTGCCTTGGAACGCGCGATGGAGGCAGGAGCTACTGGTAAAGTGTCGCGCACGCGGGTTTAGTACAGCACGTCGTAGCTGGTGGAGCGAGGAGGATCGCATGGCTTTGTAAGAAGAAAGATGTCAGATGCGGAGGTGACGCCTTCGCCGCAGCAAGCGAGCCGCGACCGCAGGAGCACCGAGTATGCTCTGCAGGCGTAGGAATGCAGTAAATCTTACACAGATGATTGAGTCCCTTTCACATAGCTCCTGCCTCTGCTACATCGTATATTTGTATATCTACCCTACTTTACTGCATAATGCATAACGTCACAGCGGTGATTCTAATCCCTGCATCGCCATTGACGATCCGAGACTCCAGGGTTCGGCCAAGAACAACATGGAGCACCTGCACGCTTCCAACGCATGCGCCTCGCCCAACACGCTTGAATTCACACCCTCAGCAAACGAGCCCATGTCATGGAGATGAGATCGCGTTGCTGCGAAAGACACATATCCTAAACCTGACTCTGGCTCTATGCGCCACTACTCACACCTTCGGGAGCCTCCACCATGACGCGCCGCATAGTACGTACAGCATAATCCTTCTTCCGCCAGTACTAACAGTCTCAGGTACGGACGGGCATTCAGCTCATAGCCCTCACCATCGTCGTCTCCCTAACCATATTCTTCCTCGATAACCGCTACCGCGTCCTCCCCCAATCCGTTCACAGTCACATGCCACTGCACCACGATGGCCTCGTTATCACCGATATCACCGTACAGACATGTTCGACCATCAATCCCCTCTCAAAATGCATGCTAGACCAGAAGAAGTGGCATCGCATAGAGAAGGATCTGTACCTCGGCTCCGGATGGGTCACCAAAGGATACGTCCACATCAAGCGCAAGCGGGAGGAGGAGCTCAAGACGGAGGACAAAGTCATCATCGATGTTCGCACAGGCAAGCTTGATCCCTCTGTGGGAGAAAAGGCCCAGGCGTCCGAGAAGTGGGAGTCACGCCCAGCTGGCCTCTGGATCAAGAGGTCGCTGAAGCGTCACGCGAGCGACGACAAGAAGGCCGTGACAGCGGTTGATATACTTTTTGGCGCCGATGCAGTAGAGCCACGGCCTGGCTGGGAGCTGGTCAAGAACGGAGCCCTACACCTTGAGACGGGCAAAGCAAGCACAGATCCCCGCCTGAGCATACGAAGAGGCCCAGCAGCCAAGCTCGAGAAGCCCGTACCCAAGATCAGAAAGGATGGCAAATTCAAGATTATGCAGATCTCCGACCTGCATCTCAGCACTGGTCTCGGCCACTGTAGAGACCCAGAGCCGCCAGGTCACAACGGCGGACACTGTGACGCCGACCCCAGGACCATAGAGTTTGTGGAGAGGGTACTCGATGATGAGAAGCCAGACTTTGTAGTCTTGTCTGGCGACCAGGTCAACGGCGATACAGCGCCTGATGTGCAGAGCGTAGGGCGTCTCCCATCCTTTACGCGACACAAAGCTAACCATCTCACAGGCCATGTTCAAGATAGTCGAACCCCTCGCAGAGCGCAAGATACCGTACGCAGCCATCTTCGGCAACCACGACGACGAAGGCACCCTCTCCCGCCACGCACAAATGGACCTCTACGACTCGCTCCCCTACTCCGTCAGCGAACCCGGTCCAAACACTATCGATGGCGTAGGAAATTACTTCGTCGAGATCCAAGCCCACAGCAGCAAGCACTCCGCCCTAACCCTCTGGTTCCTCGACACGCACTCCTACTCACCAGACGAGACCCACTACCGAGGCTACGACTGGCTCAAGCCCAACCAAATCGACTGGTTCAAAGCCACCGCCGGCGGCTTGAAAGAAGCACACAGCCACTATACCCATAAGCACCTCAACATGGCCTTCATCCACATTCCCCTCCCCGAATACGGCAACCCCGACAACGATCGCGTGGGAAACTGGACCGAACCCATTACCGCCCCCGCCTTCAACACGCACTTTAAAGACGCTCTCGTCGAATACGATATCAAAGCCGTCTCCTGCGGCCACGACCACGTAAACGACTACTGCGCCCTCTCCAAAGAACCCGAGACCGGCGATCCAGAACTCTGGATGTGTTATGCGGGTGGTAGTGGCTTTGGTGGCTACGGGGGCTACAACCACTTCCACAGGAGGTTAAGGGTGTTTGAGATCGATACGAATCAGGCGAGGATTGTGACGTGGAAGAGGTTGGAGTATGGCGATACGGGGAAGAGGCTCGATACGCAGATTATTGTTGATTCGGGGAATGTTATGCCAATTCAGGTTGGGAACCAGGAGTGAATTGGATTGAGATGAAGGAAGTGACTATTGCACCTTATGGCGTTTGGGTGTTCGCATATGGAGGGAAAGGAAGATCACCGCTTTTTTGTTTGGGGTCGTGCTACATTTGGCCAAGACGCCTTGTTAGTCTTCACATGGCAATTCAAATTCATTTTCGGAAACCATTTCGTCAGGAATATACGTGTGTTCCTCTTGTCCACCTCGCATGTCTATATTTTGGGCTCAAGTAAGAGTACTGTATTCTTCCTTTCATTTTTTATCCAATACTTCATCTATACATTATCCCTCAGATGAACGTCCTCATAAACTCTCCCAGCGCCATAATAGCCATAGCCTGCCCATACGGCATGCTCGTAATCTTGATATCCTTGTAATGCTGCAGATCATGCCCCATACCCGTTCCAAAACTCGTCTCCGTCAGCTCGCCCTCCGCGCTGATCTTGCCCATGACAGCCTTGATCGCCTTAACCGCGCTCTGTAGATACACATCCCCACTAATATACCGCTTCCGACACGCCTTGAGCATACCATACGCAAAGCCTGCCGTAGCAGACGCCTCCTCGTAGCTACCTTCCGAGACGGGGATATCAAGAAGAGTGCGCCACATGCCATTCTCGCCCTGCAGTTTGAGCAGCGCCTGACATTGCGACTCGAGGATTCCGATGAGGAACTGGCGTAGCGGATCCGTCTCCTTGAGATCGAGAAGCTCGATGAAATCCGGAATCGCAATCGTCAACCACGAGTTACCGCGCGCCCACCGTGCGCGCGCAAAGTTATGCCCGACTTCCAAGCCACCCTTGTCTTCCCATTTCCAGCCGTGGAAGAACAGGCCTGTGGATGTGTCGCAGAGGTACTGGCAGTGGAGGATGAATTGGCGCTTTGCCTCCTCGACGTATTCCGGTCTGTTGAGTACCAGACCGATCTTAGCGAGGGGCAGTGCGCTCATCATGAGGGTGTCGTCCCAGAGTTCATCTTTGTTGAACGAGTTGTATGTCTCGTGTTGGAAACCGCCGAATTTGGTGCGGGGCAGACCATGCATCACCCATTCTGCCCATGTGTCTAGCCAGGGGACGAAGGTCTTGTTTCCTGTCTCTTCGTATAGGTA